TTCAGCATACTATAATATATACAATTTTGGTTGTGTTATTGTAGTGATTCCTTTTGAGTTTTATCCTGTACATTGTCTTATCTTAGTTTGACTTCAATTAATGCATAGGATAAAAATCATATGACAGTATATATCCATTTATCTCTTCTCATTCTCTGGCTATGGATATCATACACTTTACTTATACATTTAAATCCCATGATGCATTGCTATTATCATTTAGCAGTCAATTATTTGCTTAATATGTTGAAATAATACAAAAAAGATTTCACTTCTGCCTATGGTAACCTTTCTTTTCATTGCTCTGTGGAAATCCAGAATTTCTTCTGTTATTATTTTCCTTCTGCTTCAAAGACTTTTGTCAATGGTTCTTCTGAGGAAGAGTCTGCTGCTGGTGAGTGCTCTCAGCATTTGCTGTTTGAAAAATAGTTATTTCTTTTGAGTGTTTGAAAGGCATATTTGCTGGTAAGGAATTCTGAGCCAACAACTTGGTCTCTCTCCTTTCTCACTCCCTCACATTCTTTTCTCTTCTTCCCTCCCCTCCACTCTGCTTCTCCTTCTTTTTCTACCTGAATATTAGACACAACATAAAACCACTGTCTTATAACCTACATTTTTTTTTCAACAAGGAAGCCAACATCCTCTTGTCCATAGTTAGGAATTTCTATCACTCACTTTAAGCAATTGATAAGATGCACTTAACAAATTTAGAAATGTGTGGACAATTATGACTTCATATGTCTTCATAGACCTTCCATCACTGTGACAAACATCTGACATAAACAACTTAGGGCAGGAAACATTCATTTGGGCTTTTAGTGACAAAAGCTTTTGTTTCACAGTCATTTGGGTCTGAAGTAAGGCAGAACCTCATGGCAACAGGAGTGTGGTGGGTAGAACTACTCAACCCATTGGAGGCAGGATGGATTGCCCTTTGTTCTTCTCTTGGTTCCACACACACCCTCATTTTACATCCACACTTAATCAATGGTTCTACCTACATTCAGGTCTTCCCACCAGCTCAATAATTGCTAGAGTTATTTTGGAGATTGAAACTCTATTTCATTATTTCCATTTAATTGGGGGGGGGGGGGTGTTCCTCCCTTACTCTATACATTTGTTGGCCATCTGTGACTTCTTGGTTGCTGGATTTTTTTTTTTTTTTGGTCAAGAACAAAATTCCCAAGAATAGCATGTTCTAGTGGAAACTCTAAGCTGTTCAATACTATTTCACGTGTAGTATTTACCATGCCCCATACTTCCCCATATTATTTACTTGTGTCTTATTCAGAATTAAAGTTAGAGAATTCAAATGCAGCGTGTTACCCTGGGTTGGATCCTGGCACAGGACACAGATAAGAGTTGAAAGAGCCAAATCCAGTCATCACATGGATATAAAATGGGAGAGCCAAATCCAGTCATCTCTTTCATTACTGTTAGTCCATCAGAGTGTACCAATGTTAGTTTCCTAATGGTGACACGTATCCCATAATAACATGAGACCTTATCTTGAGGAAGAGCTGGATAAAGGGATTCTGTGAGCTCTTTGCCCTGCCTCTACAACTCTCCTATGAATATGAAATAGTTGTTAAAAAGTTTCTTTTATGCTTCATTCTATAACTATTGCTTTTACTAAGAACTGAGAATGCAGGACCTACTCAGAGCACAAACTACTATGAGCCCTGACAGGGTTCCTTATGATAAGCCAACAGTTTGCATTTAGATCTTAAGATGTGGAGCTCTGCTGCCAACCAGTAGCACTGCATAGCTTATGCCCTAGACAGAAACTAGCTACCTTCCTGGCTCCGGGTGGTTTTAAGCACCACGAAGGTGTATGACATTGTTTTCTAAAAGCTCTGAACAGTTTTCTAAGAGCTCTGAACATGACTCAGGACCTGATGGTGTTAGTTAAGATCCCTTCCCCCACCCACACCTCCCTCCACCTTCCTCTTGCTTCCTTCCCTTTATTTTCTCTCCCATTTCTCTCTGTGTGATTCTTTCCTTTTGGCCATTTAATCTGGGTGTCTTGTATCATTCAGACCCTTTTCACGGGGCCTGGGCAAGGCAGTTTAAGTTAAATAATAAATAAAGCAGAATTTCAGACAGGACTATGAAAACAGATGAATTAGAACCCCTCCGATGTCAAAGATCAAACTGAAAACGCTGGCAATTCCACTGAACACCTCTACAATAACATAGCCCACTACCTTAAAAGATAAAAAGTTAATAGATGTCAGAAGGGACTTGAGGGTGCAACCAGGCTTGTCTGCTCCAAAGAGTCCTTCTAAAGGCAGGACTCTGAGGAGGTCTGGCTTCAAGGAGTATAAACATTTTCACTTTGACAAAAAAGAACCACTTTCTCTGGGATCTTTAATACATAGTCAATTTTAGGTCATCCTTAATGTTTTTTTACCTCACAGTATCGAGAAGGTCGATGACCCACATACAGAGCCATTTGGTTTCCTCGGTCTTCTGACAATAGTCCTCATACCGAGGGACCTAGCTCTGCCCCGTCCCCTGTCGGTCAGCAATTCTCCATGGGCACAGGACTTAAAAACCTTTGAGTCTCTGAGTTCTTGAGATTTAAAAAGAAAAAAAAAATCTGGCTTCCTTCAGAGCAGCAAGCTGCAGAATTCGGGATTCAGCACACGAAAAGGAACTTGAGACCTTTAATCTAGTGGCTGTTTGAAGAGACTTTTTTTTTTCCAAAAAAGAAAAGTTTCAGTAAAGTTCCTCTGTTTCCCACCTTGCAGGCTGCATGCCGCATTGTCCTATTTGTTATTGGAGTCTCCCACCCCCTGCCCCGACCTTATCCACTTTTTTTTTTCAAACTCTCAGCGATTAAAACCATCAATGGTTTCTAGAGTGCCTGATTCTTGTCCTTGGCCCCACCTTGATTGAAGCAAGAGAACGTTCTTCCTCTGTGAAATATATTAATAAGAAGCACACTGGCTCACTTTTTTGTTCCAGGTGTGTCAGTACTAAGTGGAGGATAGTTCATAAGTCAGAATTGGACACATGAACGCAGCCAATTGAGGTGGGGGGCAAACATCATTGAAGGAAATCATTAGGCAATTCTGCTCCAGTTCTAGCCCGGCAGGTGGGACTATCTGAGCAGAGGGAAATGGCATGCAGGCATCCCTTGGTATCCATGCAGGGTTAGTGCCAGGGTATCCATGGGTACGCAGAATCTGAAGATGCTAAATAAAGTCGGATGTATGGAAAGGCCTCAACTTTTAATAGAAGCCACACACATCCTCCAGGATATTGTAAATCACCTCTAGATTCTTAGAATGTCTAACGCAATGCAAGTGTTACGTAAATCATTAGTGTGATGTATTGTTTAGAGACAATGGCGAAGGGAAAATCTGCACATGCGCAGGACAGAGAAGCTCTGCACGTGCGCGGGACAGGTATAATTTTTATTCAAATATTTGCAATCCATAATTGTTTCAGGCTGTTGCTGTGGGACCTACACATATGGAGAAGCAGCTGCCCTGCCTTCTCTAAAGCTTAATAACAAAAAAGCAGCTGCTTTGCTCAGGGCTTCAACAGGGACAATGGTTCAGGTTCAGACTCCTAATTCCAACACCAACAGCCTCCACCTAGCGGCAGAGGCCTCGCCCACAGTTTGTGGGCACCAGTACGGAATCCAGTAAGCAGCCCACCTCTGTGCCCGTCAAGTAGACAGGAAGAAAGTCTCAGTCAAGATAAATGTAAGACATCTTAGGAATATTCAAGAAAATGGGCTCAGGGTGCCCCACTTGGTGACTTGCTGTTTGGAGATCTCTGTCGTGCCTAAGTACTCACCCTCGTGGCCCTGAAAGACATGATCATCCTTAGTCTAAAGATTAGGAAACTGAAGCACAGAGGGGGTCAACGCTGTGCCAGCGTGGTGACAGGCAAGGACACTGGCAGAGCCAGGACCCAAAGGCAAACAAGCGGCGTGCAGGCAGTCCTGAAAGATCACCTCTCCAGATCCTGCCTGTGTCCAAAGTAATCCACTCGTCTCCATCATCAGTATCCCATCCTGTTCCACCACAGGCTCAGCCTGAGCTGCTCCTTGAGGGCACCACAGGCAGAGGTCCTCAGTTTTTTGCTTCTCCCTGTATTTGTTTGTCTTGGGTTTTGTTTGTTTGGTTTGTTGTGTTGTGGTTTTTTTTTTTGTAGTTGTTAGATTTTTGTTGGTGGTGGTTTTGGTTTTTGGTTTGAGTTTGGGGGTTTGGGTTTTTTGGTTTCTGTTTTGAGGGGGTTGTTGTTGTTTATTTGATTGGTTCGTTTTGGGGTTTTTTTGGTTTTGTTTGTTTGTTTTGGGGGTTTTGTTTTGTTTTTGTTTTTGTTTTGTTTTGTTTTGTTTGAGGCCAGGGTTCTCTGTGTAACCCTGGTTGTTCTAGAATTTACTCTGTAGATCAGGCTGGCTCGAACTTAGAGAAGATTCACCTGCCTCTGTCTCCCGAGTGCTGGGATTAAGGTGCAGGCCACCAATGCCCAGCTTGTTCGCTTTCTGTTGCTGCAATAAAATGCTGACCGAAAACAACCTGCGAGGAATAGGTTTACTCAGTCCATCGCTGAAGCAAGTCAGGGCAGGAACTGGAGACAGGAACTAAAGCAGAGACCAAGGAGAAACACTGCTTATTGGCTTTCTCTCATAGTTTTCTCTGCCTGCTTTCTGAACAAGCCTGGACTAACCCAGATTGGCCTCACCCACAGTGGGCTGTGCCCTCCCACATCAATCATTGAACAAGAAAATGCCCGCACAGGCTTGCTTACAAGTCAATCTGATGGAGGGATTTTCTCAGTTAAGGTTCTCCCTTCCCTGATCATTTTCTCTAGTTTGTGTCAAGTTGGTAAAACTAAGCTGCAGACTTCCCGGGTAGTGTCTTATTACCTAGAAACCAGAGCAAATCAAAGCTCGTCCCTCTATACCAAAGCCTTGGGAGACGCTCCATAAAGCATACTGGTTGCCAAGGAAATGCAACTTAAAACGCAATGAAATAGTCTCCATTTCATGCTGATTATAATTCAAAACAAACAAAACCCTGGCTGTTGTGTGAGACGCTACAGTTTCTTTGGAAAACTGCCATTTTCTTATAACATTAAATATGGAACTGCCCGTTATCCACTTCTAGGGCTCTAGCTAAGGAAAATGAGGACACATATCTCCAGGAAGATGTATACACAAATGATCACAGTAGTTCTCTTTAGAATAATCAGAAAGTCGAGACACCCAAGCCCCTGTGAACACTAACAGAAGGCTGTATTTAAAATGTGGGCCCCTGTGCAACTGATTATAAGCCCATAGTAAAAACAAGAGCCATTTACTTTGTACACAAAGCAACATGGGTGCAAAGACAGGTGCAAAACCATGACAGATCCTCAGAAAGACAAAAGTAGACAGTGTGGGAGAAATCAGACCAGCAGCCGCCTGTGCAGGAATGGCTGAGTGGTCCTTGGAGCTGGAGATAGTGTGTTTGGCATCAGGAACTGATTATTCAAGTAGATTCTTTTGTCAAGGTCCTAAGACTGCACCTATATGTTTCCCTGTGTGACTTACTTCAAAAGTCTTCGATCTTGTTTCATTATCTGCTTCTCTCCGCCCCTGCCGCTTTCCTCTCCTCTCACTCTGTTGCTTTTGACTCTCCACTTCGTCCAGAGTATTAGGATCAGGGGAGGAGCAGGAGAGAGAGGGGGGAGAGGTAGAGAGAGGGAGAGGAGGAGGGGAAGGGCAGGGGAAGAGGGAGAAATGCCGTTCATCTTTTTTTGGAAGAAGGGACACTACAGAAGTTTCTAGAAGATCAGATATTACCTGATGGATAACAGAGTCGGTTTTTGAAATTGTTTTTCACTCAATTATGTCTCCATTTGCCAAGGCACAGGGGTCCGTGTGCAATCTAGGGTACAGTTGGCCCCCAAACCACCTACTGTGACCATCCAATACCAGAACAAAAACAAACAAACAAACAAACAAACAAACAAAACTGAAGCAGTAGCCATTGCTCCAAGACAGCCGATGAGACGACAAAAGGCCACGCAGGTTCTTGCTGCTCCCTCTACGCTGAAGGCTCTGTCCACTGACCTCAGCCTTCTCTACTGTGAACCCCTGTGCAGCTCCAGAGGAGACAGGGAGGAAAATGAACAGGGTGGCGTGGTTAAGTTTCCAGAGACGATGCTGGGCAGAAGATCCAGAGAAATAAGTTAAAACTGCTCTTCTATTGGCTCAGGGGTGTGGCTTCCCGTACTTCAGGCCAAGCTGGCTCAGGAATCAGCCAGTGGGCGGGAACCTTTCTCTAACACGTGCTACATTTCCCTCTCCTGTCCTCCGGACCTCCCCGAAGGCTGGTACACACACAGCTTCCAGGCAGTGCGTGAGCTTCTGCTGCTCTTCCCCAGGGCTCTGCCTGCAGCCCCGTTTTTACCATGTGCACACATTTCAAGAAGGGGCAACAGCAATAACCATGATCCAATTTGACCAGCTCCTAAGAGCCACCACCCTCCTGGACATGGTACTTATCCTGAAGTTCCTTCTGCATGTCCGGAGAGGCTCTGTAGCAATTGTGCAAAATGGTGGGATGGGAGTAACATCCAAGGACTCAAGTGGCATCCAGCAGGACTTGTCCATAAACAGTGTTACTGACAAAGTACTCCAGAGCAATGTCTGTCTGCCCTTATCTCCAGCAAAGGGTGATGTTTTGACCATGAATTTAGCCTTGGTAGCTTTTTGTTGTTGTTGTTGTTGCTGCTGCTGCTGCTGTTGTCCCATTGCTTGTCAGGCACTGTGGAATCTCTGTATCCATGGTGACTGACCAACACTCAATCATCCTGCACTGACCAGAGGCACCTTCATGCCCTCTGTTCCTGTGCTTTAGATCACTGCTCATACCTGGAAGCTGACTGGGCACCACACCTCAGGAAGAATGAGTCCACCTCGGAGGACAGATGAGGACTGAATGAGAATCACGCTGTGTGCCTGTTCAACAGCCAGAGACCACAGGGCAGGCCATCCTTCCCCATTCCCCAGCAAGCCCTACAATGTCCTGTGCAAGAAACACATTGCAGCATGTCTCAAAAGAACATAGCATGCGTTTTTTAATGAACTAATGAATCAATTAATTTCTATTGAAAATAAGTTTTTTAATCACACAATATGTTCTGATCATGATTTTCCCTCTCCATCTCCTCCCAGATCCTCTCCACACCTCCCAACCCATCCAAATCCGTGCCTTCTTTCTCTCTCTTTAGGCAAACAAACAAGAATAGAATAAAACAAACAGAAAAGAAAAAAAGGAAAGAAAAGAAAGAACACGAGAAACACACACAGGCAGAGACACACGCCCACAGAGAAAACCCATAAAAACACAAAATCAGAAACCATAACACAGAAGCAAAAGGCCAGTAAGGTGAAAAACATCTCCCAAATACTGTTGAGCTCATTTTGAGTTGGCCGCCTACTGCTGAGCATGGAGCCTGTCCTTAAGTGTAGCTTAGATGTCCAGTAAGGCTCTGTTGTAGACAGCTAATTTTTCCTTTGCTAGCCGTTATCAGTGTGAGACAGCTTCTTGGCTAGGGATGGATGCTCCTGTCCAGTTCTCAGTGCTGGGACCCCATCTGGCTTGGACCTGTGCAGTCTCTGTGCACACTGCCATAGTCTGTGAGTTCACGGGTCATCCGTCCTGTTGTATCTAGAAGGCATTGTGGCCTTGGTGTCTTCTATCCCAACAATTGTTCTGCCTCCACTTCAGGAAAGCTCCCTGAGCCCTGAGGAGGGAGGCTCGACAGAGACATCCTATTCAGGATTCTGTGTTCCATGGCCTCTCGCTCTCCGCACATTGTCCAGCTCTGGTCTCTGTATTTGTTCCCATCTGCTGCAGGAGGAAGCTTCTCTGGTGATGGCTGAGCAAGGCACTGATCTACTTAGAAGAGAATGTCATTAGGAGTCATTTGTTGCGATATTTCTTTAGTAGAACAATAAGAGTATTTGGTTTTCCCCATAGCCTATCAAGTCTCAGGTTCTCGGCCACCCTAGCAGTATGGAGTCCACCCATGGAGTCCATCAGTTAATTATTTTTAAATCTTAGTGTTCGGGGGAGAAGCATCAGTGGGTGAAATGTTTCCCCCCAGAAGCACCAGGACCTAAGTTAGGATCCCCATCACCCACATAGAAGTTGGATGTCATGGCACATGCCTGGAACCTCAGTGTGAGGATCTACCTGCGTGATGAGACGAGCCCCACAGCTCACTGGCCAGCCAACCCAGACAACGAATCAGCTCTCCCTTTAGCGAGACCCTGTCTCAAAATATAAGTGATAGAGGGAAAGTGGGGTGAATCTATGAACTCTTGGAGCCCACCTCCAGTGTCATCCTTCCTCCAACAAGGTGTCCATCCACCTCCTAAAACTCCCACAATGTCCTCAAACAGCCCCACCAACCAAGGACCGATGTCCAAATACAGGCGCCTATGGGGGACATTTTTCTATTGTTTTTTATTTTATGTATGTGGGTGTTTTGTCTATGTATGATGTTTCTGGTGCCTGAGGAGGACAGAAGAGAGCATCAGATTCCCCCCGGAACTGGAATTACTGATGTTTTGAGCTGCCATGTGGATGCAGTTGAACTCAGGTGTTCCAGAAGAGCAGCCAGTGCTCTTGACCACTGAGCCATCTCTCCAGCTGGATAGCTTCCAAGGAAAACACAACAGCAGCTGTGACATGGAAATGTTCAGTTGTTTAGTCCTGGGTAGAATACAGAAAGGGCTTCGTTTGCATCTCTACCATCCTCACAATCTTCTTGTCTCCTCCACTGCTCTCAAGCGCCGCCTGTCATATTTGCCTTTCCAAATCCCTGCTTCTATCAGAGGCATCAAGGGAAACTTTGAAAGTGTTCTGGGAGCTTGGAAAGAGTGTCATTCTTATGATCCAGCTGTTGCTGGAGCTGGTGGGCGTTGGTTTTGTGGTTAATGGTGTCGGCTGTTGTTCTTATACCAAGCTGTCTTAGAATTTTGAAAATATAAAGTCAATGAGAAGAAATCAAAGCCTCTCATGAGCACAGCGCCCTACTGTGCTGGGTGTAACTTGGGTAACCCCACTTTGCCCTATACAGTTCCAAGGTCTCCTCGAACATATTCTTTCCTGGTGGCTTTTTAAGGTAGTACTGTCCATGTGTTTTGTAAACTGATGGCTCCATGCATCCATGGGACAGATCTGTGCGTGTCATTACCTAGGCTACCACGCCTTCATTTTTAATGACCGCCTGACCTGGGCCGAGAGAGACGTGTTCCCATCAATTTGTCCTGTGGCTTTTCTCTCCAGCTTGTGATTCTGCACCTTCAGCTACTGCCCAGCATTAGAAAGTGCCAAGGGTTAGCCTATTAAAGCTCTTCATTAAAACAGAAAGTCTGGGCATTTGCAACCCTCCAGACTGAGGGCCAGTGTCCCCATCTTGTCCCTAGATAGCAAACAGCAACCTGCCATTAGCCCATCAAGCCAAGGAATCTTCCAGGTAAACATCTTCCTTTGGAGGCTGTGCTGCTTTAAAAGAAAAAAAAATAGAAGAAAATGTTTATAATGTTTGCGAGGCTCCGAGACAAAATGAGACAGAGCCCTTGATTTCTAACCTCCCACTGGACTGTTCAAAATTCCTCCTAGTGAGTCAGGCAGGAAACAAAGAGAATCGCTTGATTGTAAAATTTGCATCCTTTCTTGGCTGGGTACCTTCTTCCCGAAGGATGCTTCACACATCGCGCTGTGGTTGTTTGTAAAGATCTTTCACCCAAGACAGACCACTTCTCATGATACTGCTGATGTGGAGACAAGAGAAACACAAAGGGAGAATTAAAAATCCTGAGAGTCCCTAGGAAGAAATAGAACTGCACTTTAGGGCAGCGGCTGTCAGTCCCCAACCCCTGGATGGATGAACTGGATCAGAGCCCCAGTTAAGTAAATAACAGGGGGGAACAGCAGCAGTGCAGGAGAGAGCTGAAAGGTGGTCCTTAGCGAGAGGCATGTGCTCAACAGGCTTTCAGGGAATACAGACAATGAGCTAGCGCAGCACTGCACACGACAGTCAGACACACTCTACACACAGGGAACCAACAGTTTTAAGAGAAGAGGTGCCTGCATTCTTTGGAAATGCAGTGATACAGGTTTTGTGGTGAGTGTCCTGCTGGATTGTGCACTCACAAAGCAACAGGCAATACAGAGATACAACCCTTCAGCCTTGTGTGAGGAAGGCTTCCCCGAGGGAGAGGAAAGGAAGTTGGTGGCCAAGCCAGTGAGTCCCTGGGGAAAGGGCACACGCAGGCAAGAAACTATGGGATGATCTAGGGTATATCCTTGGCTATAGAGAACTGAAACGCAGCAGGAGGAGCCTTGGCAAGGGAAGCTATTGAGACTCAATGGAGCTGGACTAGATGACACTGATGTCCCAGGGAAAAGGGTGGGGCCCTAACAGGCGTGGATCTACCAACTCGCCACACCACAGAGATTCTTTCTGGGTTATATGAAACTTGGTAAGCTGACAAATTTGGAGACTCCTGAACATTCTAGAAAAAAGGAGGGTCTCACAAAACGCAGTGACAGTGGGAATGATGAGAAGAGGGTGCCCAAGTGACTGTCACCGGCCAGGCTAGTCAGTCACAGAGAGGGAAGGAGGGAAGAGGATAGAGAAAAGGCAAAGAGCAAGTGAAGGGCAGCAATAGAGCCTCCCCTGAGGATGCTAAGATGACTGGAAGGGGCAGACATAGGGGAAAGAGAGGGAACAAATGTTCCTGCCCTGGCAGCCACAGGGACAGGTGCTCCTGTTGGAGACAGCAAGAAAAGACACTCCCGGTGGATCTTAGGTAAACTACCGAGTGGACAGAAAGGGGTGGAGGCCAACAGATGTCTGTGAGCTGTGATATTCAGTCAGCGTGCTGGAATATCTAAAGAGGATACTAGTCAGGTGCCTGGGTGTGGGTAATGATGTATCCATGAAGGGGAAAGGCCAGAAGGTTGGGAAGGTTGAAGGACTGCAGATGCAGAGCAGTGTGATGAGCTGAGTGGGTCATTTGAGAACACAGCCATGCCCCCAGGAGGGTCCTGCCACCCACAGCAGAGTTCAGAGCAGCCAAGTGGAGAGGAACAGGTGACAAACAATAGGGATGGCCATCCTCTCATAAACAATGGAAAGTGAGGACAGGGCAGTTACCACAGCACTGCCCAAGAAAGAGAAGCCAAACCGGAAGGAGAAAGTCAAGGAACCAAGTCCTCAGGGCTCATTGGGGCTGAGAAGAATGCAGATGGGTTAAACAGCGCTAGTCAGACTGTGTGCTGGAGTGTATAAAGACTACCCAGAGAGAGGGCAAGGGTCTGGAGCAGAGCCCCAGGAGACAAGCTGGGAGCACTGGAAGGGGGTCTGTGGCTATTTCCCCCCTCTTGGGTCTGCAGTCTACGTTTCCTGCCAGGGGCTGGGCTGCCAGATCCAACATGGTCCAACAGTCACCAGGTGGTGAGTCTGTTGTGCTCCCGGGGACAGGAGAGCGGCTGAGGAAGCTGCTCTCCTGTGAGAAGCTAGGTGTCTGGAGGCAGTCTTGAATCCGGTTGGTGAGCCTAGAGGCAGCAGACTCTATCTTCCTGGGAGAAGATGGGGGTGGGGCAGCCACGATCTCCTGTGGAACTCAGAAACCTTGGGAGATTGACTGGAAAGAGGCACAGCCAAAGCGTACAGTTTGTTCAAGGAGGAAGGGATCGGTACAAACATAGCCCCATATGTCAGCATGAGTGTGCTTCTGCCTGTCTCTTCTGATGAAAAACATTCTGGTGCCTGTCTGAGAGAGAGTCAGTGTCCTTGAGGCAAGGAAGAAGCCACACCCCAATCCCAAACTGGGGCAATATAAGGCTTGCCTTGTACCTTCCTTTTCAGCCCTTTCCAGGAAAGATTGGGGTAGCCTGATCGAAGGGATTCTTTCTAGGCCTTAACCTCCAAATTTGACCAAGCTCAGATAAAGTCCGAGTGACCAGCGCACTGAACACTCTTCATGTGGACATTACCTTCCCAAATACCACCACGCAATTGCCATTCTCATCCTAAGTCTAAGTGCTTATGAAATGCTCCTGTTCATTTAGTGACAAGTAGATCGGGACCCTGGGTTTGTCACAATATTGTTTTGTCTCAGCTCTGTTCGCTCCGCAGTGGGTAGCCTTGGCCATGGAACTCCAAAGTTCTGTCTTTGGCTGGTGCTCACCCGCCGGTTGCACAGCGGGTCGCCGCTGGTCCCGCAGGCTGGTGACCGATTTGGCCTCCCCGCAGGTGCGCCCGGGTGCTGCTGGAGCACGGCGCAACAGTCCAGCTGGAGGGTGGCCCCGGCCGAGACACACCGCTGCACGTGGCGGCCCAGCGTGCCCTGGATGAGCACGCGCAACTCTACCTCGGCCGCGGCGCACAAGTGGACGCGAGGAACGGCCGGGGCGAGACGGCCCTGAGCGCGGCGTGCGGAGCGGTGGCGCGGAGCCCTGACGAGCACGCGCGCTGCCTGCGCCTGTGCGCGCTCCTTCTGCGCGGCGGCGCGGCGGCAGACGCGCGCGACGAGGACGAGCGCAGCCCGCTGCACAAGGCCTGCGGCCACGCGCGCCCCAGCCTGTGCACGCTCCTGCTGCGGCACGGCGCCGATGCGGGCGCGCTCGACTACGGTGGCGCATCCCCGCTGGCGCGCGCGCTGCAGACGGCCACGTGCGCGCCCCCGACAGCGCCGCAGCGCACGGTCCAGGCGCTACTAAATCACGGATCCCGCTCAGTGTGGCCTGATGCTTTCCCCAAGGTAAGGGGACCCCGGGGTAGCTTGACCATGCAGACACTGGATCTGCCAAGGCTCACACGCTGTGTCCAAAGTGAGATGACCCAGGCAGCCGCGGGAGGGTCTGCATTTCTCTCTAGCTCCCGGGGGAGGTGGAGGCTGCGGATCTTGGGACCCTACTTTAAGGAGCGAGGACTTAGAATTCTCCTCGTGGTTAGCAAAAAGGGAAAAAAAAAAATGAAGAGGCTATACTGTTGATAAATATTCCAGAGTGTCACCTTTCGAAGTAGTCTCCCGGGGAACTCTTGCTTCGGTGGTGCCATCACAGCGCCAGCTCGTCTTTTGGTGTAATTTTCAGAAAGATGAAAATGAGTCTCTTGTCACAGTTGGCGTTTGATCTGCAGTGAAATCACTCAACCTGCTCGGCGCCTTGTTAATGAGAGCACTCTACACCTTCGCAAACCCCTCACCCCTGCCGTGCAATTCACCCGAGGTGCCCTTGTGCCAGTCACCCCAGGCTTGAGACCTCCACCCCTTGCTCTGGCTGTGCCTTTGCAAACTCTGCTGGGCTCACCTTGTCACTTTCTCCGTCTGTGAGGTCGTTATTCATATAAAAGGCTCATGAGAGAAAACGACAAACAATGTTACCACAATAAAATCCCTAGGCAGACACGGACAAAGTACAATGAGGGAGATGTACGAATATGCCATAATGAAATCATGAAAAAAAAAGTTAAAAGGACATCAAGGGGCTGAGGAGATGGCTCGGTCAGTGAAACGCTTGCAGCAAAGCACGAAGTTTGAATCCCTAGCACCCATGTAAACGCCCAGCTTTGGTGGCTCATGGCTTCAGTCCCAGCACTGAAGAGGCAGAGACAGGCCGACCAGACTCCCTAGCCTAGTTCATCCAGACCCAATGTATTAGTCAGAATTCGCTGAAGCAGTGGTTCTCCACCTTCCTGACTCTATGACCCTTTAACACAGTTCCTCATGCTGTGGTGTCCCTAACCATAAAATTCCTTTTGTTGCCACCTCATAGTTGTAATTTTGCTGTTATGAATCATTATGTAAATATCTGATATGAAGGATGTCTGATTTGAGACCCTTGTGAAAAGGTTCTTGGGGTTGTGACCCACAGGTTAAGAACCACCACTCTAAAACAACAGGACTGATAAAAGATATATATATAAGTATGTATATATACTAATATATATGCATATAAAGCTGCATATACATATATACATATACATATACATATACATATACATATACATATACATATACATATACATATACATATATATATATATATAGAGAGAGAGAGAGGGTTTATTAGATGGTTGAGAGGCTGTGGTCCAACAATGGCTGGCTCCAGACAGAAAGACTGACACTCTAGTAGCTGTCAAGCCCACAAGACTGGATGTCACAGCAGTCCCTACCTGGTGCTGGAGTCCTGAAGAAGTTGGCTTTAATACCAGCCTCTGCAACAGGATAGATGAAGTTACCAGTGGGAGTGAAGGCAAGCATACAGAAACCAAGGTCCCCTTCTTCTGTGTCCTTTTATGTTTGTTGACACCAGAAGGTATGGACAAGATTTAGGGTGGATCTTCTTGCTTCATATAATCTGCTTAAGAAAACTTCTCACAGGTGCACGCAGAAGCTTGGGATTTAGTTGATTCTAGGTGTGGTCAAGTTGACAGTGAAAATTAGCTATCATCTCCATACCCAGGTTCTTGTAAAAGACCCTGTCTCAAAAATAAGATGGACAGCTCCTGAGAAACGACACCCAAGGCTGAGCTCCAGCTTCCCCGTGCACATGCACACACACCGGGACCCACTCATATAAATAAATAAATAAATAAATAAATAAATAAATAAATATATAAATAATCTTGAGGACCAGCTAGCCTGGTGTGTGCACCAAGGTAGCAAACGAAAGAAGGCTGCCTCAGGCAAGGAGAAAGATGAAGCTAGTCACACTAATGTGCCCGACTACACACACACACACACACACACACATGCACATGTGCACACAAAGACACACAAATAGCATTCCCAAAGTATTATCTAGAAGAAGAGACTGCCTTCCCCCAAAGACTTCATTGAAGGAAGTCAAATTGATCATAAAATATTGGTTCACTTCATTTTAAAAATCTCCCCCATCTCCCAAGACACTTCCATCACATACAATGTAATAAATACACACCTACACATACCTGTGAACATGGATGCGTGCCTGGTACATTTGGAACCAGCCTCTGGAAAGCCATACCCCAAAGATGATCCAAAGGAACAGTTTTCAAAGCTCTGAGAGAGTGAGATTCATACATTCCTCTCAGATGACTTTGCCAATGAGCATGTTCAGAGAAAAGGATGCATCTGTATGGAGAAGGTTCAAAACTCAGTACTGAGGCCTCTCCTAGTGTCTCCTCACCACACAAGCACGCTGACTCTTTCTTGATATTGTCACCCAGGCCACTCCCCTGTGGTGCTCTGCCAATACACAGATTTCAATATGGCAGGCTCTCAAAAGGAAGTGCTGCCATCCTTGTATTCTGGGACACCTCCAGATTCATAGCTCACACCCTGACACTCCCCATCCCCAGCAGGATGTGTTCAGCTGCCTGGGACGTGGACACTAGACTCACACTGATTGCCCTTCAGATCACATCCTGTCTTCATAAAGCCCAGACATGCAGGTAGTCATTACCGCATGGAACCACACAAAGAATAAAGGACAGAGTGGATCTCACAAGATGGGCTGCAAACAGGAAGTGACTGACAGTGGTTTCAAAGGGAGGTGGTAGGTTGGAGCAGTGGAGAATGCGGCTTGATGCCAAACCTGGAGACCTGGGGAGTCACAATGTAAGAGAGAACTGACTCTTGCAAGTTGTCATCTGACCTCCACATACATGCTGTGACAAGTGCATATTCACACACACAACACACACACACACACACACACACACACACACACACACTGTACTGTACCTCAGTAGTGACTGAAAATAGTCCTTTGTTGACCTTGATGCCATTTCATCTTGAGGGATCCCCATTAAGGTGTTGGACTTTGAGGCACAGCCCCTCCCCCTGCCAGCCTGATCCCTGGGGATAGGGCTTCTAGGGGCAGCAGGCACCCTGCCTTGACCTACAGAGGCAGCACATGGCTCCATGCTCCCCTCCAGGTCTTCAGGGCCTCTGTTCTGAGACATGCCCAGATGCCATGCCAGCCACATGGGGTGTGGTCGATCATATGTTCATCCCGTCATACCTCAGGATTGGGGGTTGGGCATGGTCATGGGAAGCATTTGAGTGCTGGTGGTTGCAAGCTGAGGTTCTCTGGTCAGTTGCCCACCAATGTGTAAGGAACTAAAGAGTTACTTAAGAAATCTTTATACTAAAAATCATTGCCATTTGGAGCTGCCATGTTTCCCAATGTGACAATAATAGACTAACCCTTTGAACTGTAAGCTAGCCCAATTAAATACTTTCCTTCATAAAAAAAAAAAAAAAAAACGTTGCCTGCCCTGCATTGGCACAGCACAGATCCATGCAGGCCTTAGGTCAAAGATTGTCACACGAATGCAAGGGACTTCAGTGACTCGAGGGCACAGGTCTGATGCATCAGCCGCTGGTCATGAGGTCCTGACACCTCTGCACAGACACCCTTGAACGTCTAAAAGTGACCTCATTTTCCTGAACAGCCTACAGATGAGATGCATTCACCTACACTGAATCCAAGCTAGATGTGCCTCTGAAGGGCTAGCCTTACACTGGGATAAGCGGACAAAACCGTGGAGATGGAGGGGCAGCATAGCCCACCAGTGCTCCCTGTCAGTTTCACTTGAAAGAGTGTAATCACCTAACTGGGCTCAGCAGCCCCATGGGGTACACAGCAAGTACACACAAGGCAGAGGCAAGGAATGCTCCACAGGCGAGACACAGGCACCATGGCAGGCAGACACCAAGCCACCTGGAGTGCCACAGAGCATGCAGCCCCTGTGAGCAGCAGCCAGCCGTACTTTAAATAGATGTAAAGAGACACCCATGGAGCGCAGAATTACTGAGGCAAAAGGTTTCACGGAGAGCGTGTGACATAAATCACAGTTCCCTGTGCCCAGACAAAGGCACCGTCGTGGCATCAGGCATCCTCTGCCCTGTGCTCACTGTGCTGATGTGACAACCAAGGAGTGGCAGACTTTGGGGCCACTGTGTCCAGGCCCTTCTGCCCTGCTGATCTCTAGTTCACATCAGAGGTAGGGGTGTAGGCCCCAGCAGGTTCAGGTAGACGCTGGTAACCAGGCATCAGTCCTAGAAAGTATTAACATAAGTCTGGGCCAGTGGACTCTCAGGACAGTGAGGAGATCCAAGAATGCGAGCCCCGCTGTGATTTGGCACTGAAGGCTTTACAGAATTACTCCTAGAAATCATGACTCTGAAATGCCCCATTTTCCTTTGTCTATCTCTTTCAAGAGCACATTTCAGGTTCAACCCAAAAGAGAATGTTGGGCCCATGAAGAGGCGAGGAGGGCCTTTAAGCCCAGTGGCCTCTAGGAAGAATCTGACCGGCCCGTCCCACCCCACAGCCTTTGACTCAAGCCCTTTCCCTCCCTCCCTTCTTCTCTGTGTTAGGCTGAGAGCCACTTGAAATGACACGGGATCAAGTGATCAGTTGTATTTGTCCCCTGATGCCACCAACCCTCTCCAGACCCCTTTGCATTCTACCTCTTCCTGTGTCATGCTTTTTCCCTGACCCAGCCCTGTAATGATGAAGACAAAATGTGCTACCCCTGCAAGGGTCATAGGTAACTAAGCCTCGGACCTAGCAGTAGCATAAGGATTAGGCCAGCCATGAGTTTCCCTAACTGCTTCATTGGCTGTGGAGCCTACGCACAACGCCTCTCATGTGTTCACACATGGATTCGTTTATCAACCATGCTAAGGGGCTTGAAGGCCAAAAACACATACTGTTCTTGCAGAGGATCTTAGCTTAGTTCCCAGAACCCACATCAGATGGTTCACAACCTCTTGTGAACTCCAGGACTAGGGGGTATCCAACACCTCTAGTCTCCTCAGACACCTGCATTCATTTGTGCACACATACACACACACACACACACACACACACACACACACACACACATTCACATAGTTAAAAATAATAAAAATAACCATGCTTAGGAATCCTGCCTGAAGTTCCACTGGGGGCAGGAGAACACAGACTTCCGCCCTCATGAGCAGCCTGACTTAGACAATCATACATCCTGAGCTGTGTCACAGAAGCACTAGACTTTGCAAGTGTCAAGTTTCATCTTGGCCTCGGTTGGCTGTGTGTATTATTTATTTATTTTTAACTGCTATGGTAAAGAAGCTGACAGAAACAGCTTAAGAAAATTTGTTTCATCTCACAATTTGTGGGTCCAGAGTGCCATGGTGAGGGCTTCATAGCCTCAGGAGTGTGGTGTAGCTGGTCACATTGCACCCACAGTCAGGAAGCAGAAGAGAGATGGTGCTTATAGCTAGCTCTCCATCACAGTCAGCTCAGGTCCACAGGGGGAGCCGCCCACGTTTAGGATGGGTCTTCCCATTTCACTTAACCAGATGTGTCCCAGGTGAGTCTAGATCCCGTCAAGTTGACAATCAAAATTAATCATCACACTGGGGTATCAGAGACCCCAAGTATGCAATGTGCAATCCCAGGTCTGAGGGCCAAAGCCTTGAGCAGAGAGTATTAGACACCGAGCAGATACCCTAGGACAGGGCAAGCCTTTTCAGGAATGTGTACCTTCCAGGAAAATGACCAAAGGGCTGAAGTGGAAATAGAAACACACACCCATACCCATTCTGCATCCCCACCCCCACCCATGCTGAACCAGCTGAGCAGGCACCTCAGCACCTCTTGAAGGGCCTGGTGAGCCTTTGCCTAAGGACAAGAGAGATCCAGTTAGTTCATTGTTTTTAAAATGAAGGAAGTAACTAACAAAATCTGTGCAAGAAATGAATCTGCTTGAGTGTGGAGAAGAAAACGGAGGAGAGAGCAGAGAGGACCCATCGGCCATTGTGAAAATTCAGATGGGGAAGACGAAGACAGAGCTGGAAATACAAAGTGGGGAGAATGGAAGATTCTGCAGATTCCAGGTCTTGGCTCACCCCCGAACACTGACAGTGCTGGAACCAGAACCTCTGATTTCTTGTTTTGTATCTAATTCCAAAATTAAGTAAGGTGACTTCAGCTGCTGACTAGTTTCCCCAGATTTGGGCAGGAGATTGTAGAACTGTGGTCAAAAAGCAGGCGCAGTTTCCCTGGCTGCCCGCTGCGCAGCAGTGTCTCCAGGGGAGGAGGGACGGGAGCCATCAGGAAGCTTGCCTCTGTTTTCCTACCCTTCCTTTATTTCTCCATCTACATATAAAGCAATGTGCCTGTGTGATTTTTCCCCTTAATTTTCTTTCTGCCGCCTCATTAGCTGAAGAGCGTGCGCTTGGACACTAATGACATCAACGTGTCAGAGTAATGTGGCAGCCGCCTCTCTGCAGACAGCAAGGAGGCAGCGGAGATTTTTAAACTGTGTTGGCGTAAAAATAATGAAGGCAGCCAGCTGCCTGGCAAACACGAGGGGCACGGTGCTGAGGGGCTGGGGAGGGGCGGGGAGCCCCAGAGAGGTGGAACAGAGGGAGAGACAGAAAATGAATTCCTGGAGACAGGCAATAAGACTTTGTCACAGTCTGTGACCCTGTGTGGGGGAGGGGTTGGGAGAAGGGGTGGTGCTTCGCCCTAGGGGAGGGCAGCTCTTTTCTACCCTGGATGGGGGAGGTCTGTGTAGCATGCAGTCCCTGAGAGGCATTTAGTGATTTTTTTGCAGAGAAGGAACAAGTCTGGGGTTGGGGGAGGGGGATAGCATGGCCTCAGAAAACAGAAATTACCAGAGCCCACCTGAGAAGCAGGAGACTGGGGCTGGGGGCTGGCTTTCCCCAGCAGAAAGGAGAGAGTGAGTGAGAGCTGATGGCCCAGGATTGGGACTGGGGACACCAGGAATATCAACAAGTAAAGAGTACCTGGCTAGAACAGGTCAGAGGGTGTTCCTGGGCCAGAGCCCTTCAGCTGCAGCTCAGTCCGCTCTGTCTCCTTTTCTGAAAATGGCTGAAGCTTGACTCGGTGATGGTCATAGATTGGAAGAAAAGAACCAGAAATTCTTACAGTGCAAGAAATGGACCAGAGGTTCTTTCGATGCAATGTAGGGCATAAGAGATGGCTCAGTGGGTAAAGGTGTTTGCCAACAACCCTGACAGCCTGAGTGAGTTCAATCCCCAAGAACAATGTGACAGCAAGAGAAAGAACTTTCTCAGGTTGTCTACAGATGGCCACGCGCTTGCCTGAAGATATGGGCACACACAAAGTGAACAACATTGTTACAGGGTCAGTGAGATGACGGGTCTAGAAGTGGTGGTTCCTGTCTTCTGAAAGATGCCTTTGAAGATAGAAGCAAGAGAAGACAGGAAGGGCAGCCTGGGGCAGGACTAGCATAGCAGCTTCTCACTGAGTGTCCCCCTGCGGTGGCATTGTGTATAGGCAGCCAGGAACAGTGGGCGGGGAGCTGGGATGCAACTGGGATATGGAGCATATATGCATAGGTAGAAATGGGGAACTTAGGTACAGAGCAGCCTGAGGACTCTCCTAGAAAAGGGGGGACAGGAAGAGGTCTCAGCGGATGGACATGTGTCTTATAAGCCACCCTCCACTCTGATGACTAGACAGAACAGGACCAAGACTTCCCCAAGTGTTCACAGACTTACACCAGGTTCACCTTTATCAGAAAGAAAATGGAGGAGCCAGGGTGATGATGGTTCAATACTCGGACCGCTTGCTCTGCAGTCAAGAGGACCTTAGAACCTACATAAAAATACCCAGACAGAGCTACATGCATGTCTGTAATCCCAGCATTTGTGGACCAGGCATCAGGGAAGAGGTAGATCTCTAGACCACTCTGGCTACCCAGCCCACACTGCAAGGTTCGGGTTTAATGAAATACCATGTCTCAAGGCAGTAACTCAGAATTCAACAGAGGAAGACAGTGAATGTGCTATGCTGGCTTCTGCGTGCACAGGCACAGGCGTGGGGACCCATGTACTCATGAGCATAAACTACATATCCAAGAATAAAAAGTCAGTGGATCTCCAGGGTCAGGGGACAGAAAAAAAAAAAAAGGAAAAGTACAGCATCTGAAGTGTAGAGAAGAAATGTGTTGTCTCAGCAGACGATCTGGAAGAAAAGCCGAGAGCTGAGTGAAGACGGCTTCTGTGATCTGTGAAGGCAGAACAGGCTAAGGACAGTCAACAGAAGGATCTGACAAGAAACAGGCAGAGAGTGCAGACTAAAGTCAGGGTGCTATTCATGCTTCCTGTGCCTCCTCAGGTCCCCTCCCTGATGCTCCCAGTTCAGGTCTTTATCCTGCATGGAAGGATAGAGGGCCACATATCAGCTGGGCTGTGCCTGAGGGCTCTGCAGATAATTTAAGGGTAGAAGAAAAAGAAGTCATGCTTCCTCCCCTCTTGCTCACCCAATCCACACCACCCATGTCCTCTCCTGACTCAGCAACAGCTTCCCTGGTCCCAGACCACACCCAGCTCACAGTCTCTGCCAGGCAGGCTCTGGTTTCACTTGATATCAGGCTCCCGGGGATAGTCATGATCTCTGGACTCTAATAAAATCACCTTGATCAGTTCAACCTCTGAAGTACTGAAAGTGGAAGGAGACCAAGAGAAAGTATCGGGCACAAAGGACAGACTATATAGCCAGCCAATAGATCAGCAGTTCTCAACCTTCCTAACACTGAGACCCTTTAATACAGTTCCTCATGTTGTCGTGACCTCCAACCATAAAATTATTTTGTTGCTACAACATAGCTGTAATTTTGCTACTATTATGAATCATAATGTAAATATCTAATATTCAACCTCCCAAGGGGTTGTGACCCACAAATTGAGAACAGCTGCAATAGATAGTGACATTATTCAAGGTAAGCCTAGAATAAGAGAATCAGGAGCCATATTCCAGAGAAATGTAGTAGAAGAAAGCTTGCTGCACTAAAAGTCTTAACGTTTAATTCAAGGTTAAGTAAGTGTTCTTGACAAGAACAGGAAACATACCTAAGACATTCAAGCAGAACTGTTCATAAAGTACATGGGGGAAGAAATCTTACTAGCTCTCTAATCAGAAAACAGATTACTTCTACAAATATAAAAGATAGGCTGGATTCAGATTTCTTGGCTACAATATCAGCAAAAGACCATGAAATATCCTTTGTGTATATTTTTGAGACAAGGTCTCATGTAGCCAAGCCTGGCCTCAAATTTGCTACATAGTTAAGAAAGACCTCGGGTGTAGTAGCATACTTCTGAGGTGGAGGCAGCAACGTGCCACCACACCAGAGTGTTATATGGCACTGTGAGTTGAAACTGGGGCCCCTTGATGCTAGAGGAGCACTCTACCAAACTGAGCTATGTCCTCAGACTTCATCAGCATATTTTCAATTGAAGAAAAACATTTATTGAGGGTGAAGGAACACACAAATTGAGCAGACACAAAGAGAAAGAGACCCTCTGCTCAAGAAGCTGAAAAAGCCCTCAACATATTATAAAGGAAACATTTGGACACTAAGACTATTAGACCCAAGGCTGGGTAGCTTTCATTGGATACCAAAAGAAAAGTATTTTCAGATATGAACAGCTCAGAAAACATATCCTTTGATCCTTTTTTTATTAAGAACAAAAAAGTATTTCTATTCTATTATTTATTCAGCAGATACATATGAGCACCGGTCAGGTGCCAGTGAGATGCTGGGTACTTTGGATAATGGGTGAGCAGATCAGAGAGCCCCATACTCCCTCCCTCAGGGACCCTGCAGTTAAACAGGGAAGAAAGACATTGTTAGCCATGAGTGTAATAAGGCCGAGGAGATGCTAACCTGAACAACAACCACAGAGAGTGTCTCCTCAGATAGTGTGCTATCTCAGGAGAACACTTAGTACTACAGAAGGAGCACGCCCCCACGGTGAACTAAGAGTGAGTGCAAAGCAGGTGAAGTAAAGAAGAATTTCAAAAAGCAAAAGTGAAGTGAGGCACAGTGGTCCATGCCTGTGATCCTACATTTGGGAAACTGAGGCACGGGATTGCAAGTTGGATATCAGCCGACAGTAGCCAGCAAAACAAGAGGGGGGAATTAGGAAAATTGCACGGGCCAGCAAGAAGTCGCAGCAAAGCTCTTGCCAACAGGCCTGGTGACCCAAGTTCAAACCCTGAGACACATAAAGTAGGAGAAAACTAACTTCGGGCCAGATGTCTTCTGACCTCCATCCACATCACTGGCACACATACACATGCATACATACACAAGAAATGAATGCAGATATCTTTAATTAAGAGAATTCTATGTGATCTTTTTAAATGATACTCCTTGGCCTCAGAGTTAGTAACATGGATGATGTCTTCTGAAGCTGGACAGACAGGTACTGGGAAATGTCCCTGTATCCGTGTCTTCTGTATGAGGCTGTGCCCACTAATCTTGGGCCAGCATGTAGCTCTGCAACCCCTTCCCTCAAAATGTCCAGCTTTTTGTTGTTGTTGTTGTTGTTATTGGGATCAACACAATGCTTCGTTTATATCCTGACAGTTTTTATGGAAGGAAGAAGGGACTGGAATGTATCAGTAAGTTCAAAGTGGGCAGGAGTTAAGGTTGGTGGCCTTTGAACCAAAACTTGAAGGCAAGGAGGAAGTAACCTGCACAGAGGGCTTGGGACGAGCAATCCTAAGGGGCAGTCAGTCTGTGACCTGGTGCAGCCTGAGCTCCGTGTAGAGTAACAGGACCAAGGTGGATGAAGGTAGTCGGGATGATGAGGGTGGGAGACTGGCAGGGGCTCTGAGGGACACTGTTGTGACTTTGGCCATTGGTGATATCTGCAGAGCAATGGCACCGCTGACTGTTTCATAAGATCCCCCCCCCACCACTGCCATGATGAAGAGACTAGACAAGGAGGACAAGTTGGAATGCTGACACGGTGACCCACATGCGGAATGCTGGCATGGTGACCCACATGCAGAATGCCCTGGGGCTAAGGAAGCGCTCTGATTCAGGGTGGACCTTGAAAGCAGAACTGTGAGGGCTTCTCCACACTGAATATGGATAATGAGAGACATGGAAGTCAAAGGCAGCCCCAAGGCTTCTAGCCTGAGAGTTAGAAAGATGTGTGTGCCTTCAGCTAAGACGGACAAGACCAGGGCCAGGACAGCAGGTAGCAGTGTGTGTACCAGGGAGCCCAGCTCAATGCACCCAGGCTAGAAGGAAGCCATTGGATGGATATTCAAGCCCAGAGTCCAAGAGAATGAGATTCTACCGGCCTGGAGTGCAGTGGCGTGGGGATGGTATGGGAAGCCAGGAAACTGGGTGAGGGACAACAGAGAAGAGACAGGGACAGGAATGAACAGAGAAACACCCGTCTCTGAAAGAAAGAAAAAACCATGGAGATGAGAAAAGAGCCCAGGAGAGAGGAGAGTAAGAAAGAAGCCCAAAAGGATGAGAAAACACGCAGAAGACAACATTTTCTCCCCCTCCCCCACCCCCACCCCCCACCCCCGACTGCCATTCTGAGTGAGGAGTACTGACAGCTACCTTTCCCCAGAGTCATGGAAAAATGGTCTCTCTGCCTTCTAAGCTCCCTTCAACACTCACCTCTAAAGAGAATCAATCCTGCTGCTCCTCCACTCAGACACCTCGAACAGGCCTGTGCCTGAGGTACAGGGCGGGACTTCTCATGGTGCACGCGATGCTCCTCATAGCCTTCTCCCGCCCATGGCCTTTCATGTCTCTTCACTAAATTTCTCTAAAATGGAGATGGGATGCCAAGAAAATACAGGTGATTTTCATCCCAGAGAAGTTAAAGTAAAATGTGCTAATAACCATAGCAGAAATTGAAAACATGATACTTAGATGAAGTACCAGGGTTTAACAATGTCAAAGGAATGTGTTGGCACCTGCTGCTGGCAGTGTAGTCAGAAGCAAGGCCTTTCCCTGGTGTTAGGCCTGGATTTGAATCCTAAGGAAACACTTTAAAAAATTATTCTGTCTTCTTAATTCCAAAGATTGTCTACTTTTGAAATTCTTCCCAATAACCAAGAGGACTAAAATTTTATGATTTGGGGACTGGAGAGACAGATGTCTTAGCGGTTAAGAGCACTGACTGTTCTTCCAGAGGTCCTAGGTTCAATTCCCAGCTACATGGTGACTCACAGTCATCTGTAACTCCAGTTCCAGGGGATCTGACAGTCTCACATGACATACATGCAAGCAAAATACCAATGTACATTAAATAAATAAATAGATAAATAAATAAACAAATATCAACAAGATGAAGAAGTGGGGGAATGGAGAGATGGCTCAGTGGTAAGAGCTCTGACTGCTCTTCCAGAGGTCCTGAGTTCAATTCTCAGCAACTACATGGTAGCTCACAACCATCTGTAATGGGATCTGATGCCCTCTACTGGTGTGTCTGAAAACAGCTACAGTGTACTTGTATACATAAAATAAATTTAAAAAATCTTTTGAAGAATAAGAAAAGGAAGAGGAAGAAGAGGAGAGGAAGAGGAAGAGGAGGAAAAAGAGGAGGTGGTGGTGGCATCACATAATGAGATGCTAACTTCAAAATCAAACATAACAAATTAGGAATAAGATGATTAGGCCAGCTACCAATTGTTGTTGACAGAAAACATAAGATGATGACCAATGTAATAAGATTTTAAAAAGTAAGTAAGAATATTAATATCAAAGATGAAAAAACACTGGCTGCAAAAATGCTTATCTGCCCAGAAAATAGTGCTTATTAATTCTTCAACCCATGTTTGGCTCCCAGCACCCACATGAGGCTCCTCACAATCCTGTAACTCCTGCCCCAGGCAAGCACACGCACATATACCTAGGTAAAAATTAATTTCTCTCTCTCTCTCTCTCTCTCTCTCTCTCTCTCTCTCTCTCTCTCTCTCTTTCTCTGAGACAGGGTCTCACCATGTAGATCTGGCTGTCCCGGCACTCACTATGTAGACCAGGCTGACAGACCTCAGAGAGATACTCAACCTCCCAAGTACTAGGATGAGAGGCATGCACCAACCACCACACCAGGATGAAATACGCACATACTCCAGACACACAGACACACAGGCACACTGTAAAAATAAAACTAGATCTTTAAAAGTCAATAAGTAAAGAGTCCTATGGGGATTGTGAGGTCAAGTGTAAGGGTCATGAAGTAGGAAGTCAACGACAGTAAAACTAGTTCCTTGCCCCCATCCTTGCCACTCTTTCTTTCCTGACACTAAAGAAATTGAGGTGGAAAATTTGGACCACACCCCTCAGGCCACACTGCCCATTGAATTGCTTTCCTTTGCTCTGAGCAGCTCTGTGGAGGCAGAGGTCTGTCGTCAGCATCCCCCAGCCCAGCCCAGCCTCTAAACGTGACTGTTAAGCCCGAGCCCTGAGAGCACAGGTAGCCAGCCAGAGGATGTGGGCTTCCTGGAAGAGCCACAGGCTCCTGGACCTGATGGGTCAGCTCACTGACAACACCTGGAACTGTCACTCTGGGTGGTGTGACTTGGGCCTTGGAGATCACGGGGCCAGGGAGTAGCAGACACGAAATGCAAGAACATGCCTGCATTGCGAGCCTTTCTCTCGTTGGACCCCAAGCCCCTCACCCTGCATCGTGCCTCCCACTTTCCCCAGGTGCTGAGGACATGTGCACAGGTACCTGCTGTCATTGAAGTTCTGTTCAACTCCTACACTCAGCTCCGAGTGTCTGAGTCCTGGCAGGAGGCCATCCCTGAAGAAGTATACCAGGTGAGACGT